CTGAAGAAGGTGTTGAAGGAGTCGTCCCCCCCGCCGATGGTCTTGTCGCTGGGCATCTGCCCGTCGGGCTGGATGCCGTGCTCCAGGCAGTACAGCTCCCAGCAGGCATTGCCGATCTGCACGCCCGCTTGGCCCACGTGGATGGAGATGCAYTCGCGCTGYGGGGGCACACGGCAYCGGGTCACCCCCTTTTGTCCCACCCCAGCACCCACTGGGCTGTCACCGAGCTGGGAATGGCTGCTCYCCACGGCTGGATGGGGCCAGACCGTGTCCACATGCACCCACTGTGCTCAGTTCTGGTGATCCCATCCTGCTCCCCTCCCCAGGAGCTGAGATCCYGCACCAATTGTGTGCCATGCACTCTACCACCCCCACAGAGCCAGGAATTAGGGTTCCCCAGGGTTATTGCTGGTCCCCACTATTTCCAGTCTCCGATCCATGCATGGTTCACATGCAGATAAGGACACCTCACAACCCTCCTGTCCCAGTTCAAGGACACCCCTACATCCCATGGAACAGGGACCCCCTCTTTTCTCCAGTACAAGGAATGCTCAGCCCGGAGAGTCCCATCCTGCCCCTTCCAAGAGTTGAGACCCTGCCTGCTGGGGGATGCAGAGATCTCCCAAGGGCTCAAGTTCGGCACCCCCAAACCCCAGCTGTGCCCTAGTGTCACCCCAACCGCAGGCTGAGCTTTGCTAGGGCCACCCAGGATCCGAGCAGGGAGGCGTGGGGTGACACCCGTGTTCGGGGACAGGCTGGAGCCACCTGTGGGCAAAGCCCTGGAGGGTCCCATCACCCCGCAGCTGCCACCATCTGCTCCCAAATGGCGCCCAGGGAGGACATTTTCCAGCCCGGCAGCCTGGGCAGGGCGAGGTCGGGAGGAGGAGGAGGAGGAGGAAGAGGAGGAGGAAGCTCAGCGCAGCAGCGGGGCCGAGACTGCASCAGCTGACCCGAAACCGCGGGGATGGGCCGATGGCGTCACCCCCGGGGGGTCGCGCACATTCCYGGCCGCTCCCTGCCCCGCACCACCTGCTCCCCCGCGTTCCTCTCACCCGGGGCGGGGGGAGAACCGGCTTTGGGGGAGATCGGGAGCGGAGGGAGGCCCGTGTGATCCTTTCAGGAACCACGGAGCGGGATCAGCCTCACGGGCTCCAGCGGGCGCCGGAAGGGGCAGAAAAAAGGGAACATCATGCTTTCAGGGAGGGGGGAGGCTAAGGGGAGTCCAGGGCTGGATTTGGGGGGGAAGGGTGAGAATGCGGAGGGGCGGGGCTGTGCCCCTGGCGAGGGGCGGGGCTGTGCCCCCGCCGCGCGCCTTCCCGCGCGCGGGAACGGTAACGGTCGGGCTGACCCCGCCCCCACCGGTGGGCTACTGGAGACCACGTGTGGCCACCCAAATGCTCACCCTGTAACCCCCCCAGAGGTGCTCCCTCCATCAAGGCCCTCACCCTCTGTCCCTGCTCAACACCCCCAGCCCCCGCTATGCCCACCCACCGCTCCCACTGTACCCCCATCCCCTCCCAACTTTCGGGTCGGTCCCCCTCACCCTTATATCCCCCAGCCCTATTTCCCACCCCCGAAGTCTCCCCTCGCTATTCCTTCCCCCTCCTCTCCCACGCACCCACTCTCCCGCAATTCCCCAGCTCCAGCCCTTCTTCCCCTCTTCCCTCCGAAGCTGCGGGCCCTTCCTCTTCCTTTCTATAGCCCAGTCCCCTCACCATGGCTGCGGCTTGGTTACTCGTCCCGACAAGCAAGGAATCGACGCAAGTACCAGCTACCGCCGCCCCCGGGCGCCCCCCTTTATACCAGCCCGGGGGGCGGGCCGAGCACCCCCGCCCCGCGCTCCTATTGGCCGGGGAACCTGTCAATCCGTGCATTCTCGCCGCGGATTGGCTGAGACGCGTGGCGCGCTCCGCCTCCTCCGCCCTCCGTGCTGCGGGTTTGGGGGGGGGATCTTCCCGCCGCGGGGTGCAGCCCCCCTCAACCCCCTCCCCCCGGTTTGAGAAGGGTCCCCCGTACGGGAATGCGGGGTACGGGGTGGGGTTTGACCTCCCTGCTGTCCTCAGCCCCCCCGATACTGCGTTTGCCGCGTAGGATTGGGGGGAACACGGCCGCCGCCGCCACCGCCCCTCCCGCCCGGTGCGGCTCCGCTGCGGAGGAAAACTGCGACATGGCGGGGGCGGCACGTGCTGCCGCGCCCGGTGTCCCCTCCCGTCCCCAGGTCGATAATCGGCTTCTCCGGACGGACTACCCCCCACCCAGTCCCATCTGCACCGCCCCCCGCCCCAGCCCCGGCTCATCTGCACCCCGGGGGTCGTTCCCGGACCATCTGCAGCCTGCGGAGCCCCCTCCCCCCCACCCCAACACCCTCCCGGCCCATCTGCAGCTTCTCCGATCCGCCTCCCCCCCACCCAGTTGCATCTGCACCGCCCCCCGCCCCAGCCCCGGCTCATCTGCACCCCGGGGGTCGTTCCCGGACCATCTGCAGCCTGCGGAGCCCCCTCCCCCCTCACCCCAACACCTCCCGGCCCATCTGCACCCCTGAATATCCGCCTCCCCTCCCCCCGAGTGCATCTGCACCCCCCGGCCCCTCCCACCCCATCTGCACCCCTGGATCCCGCTGCGATGGGGGGGCCGGGCTCCCCCTGCGGGGTCCGCACGTTTGGTGGGGTGGACCCCGCTTTTCAGGGTGGGGTTTATCTCAGCCATGTCCGCAGCACGGAGRGTTCTCCCCACTCCCTCCGCCTTTTCTGGGGACCACCATAAAACAGGGGACGTGCTGGCGCCCCACTGCGCCCCCCAACTTGGAGCAGCTCCCTCCCCGGCTGTGAGGCCACAGAGAGCACAGAGAAGGAGCCAAGAGGGGGGGGCCATCACCACCCCCCACCTAATCCCCGGAGCTATTTGCACCCAATAATCCGCCTTCCTGTTTTGCCAAGAGCTTTGCGGAAAACCCAGCGGCCCCTTCGGCAGCGCTCGCTGCCGGGGGGCCCCCGCATCCCCCACCACTCCCGCACCTCCGGAGCCACCCCGAASCGGGGTCACCCTCCAGCTGAGAGCACCCCGGGGTGGCGGGGCTGGCTCGGCAGCATCCACAGCAGCTGCACTGCAGCGGTGACGTGGCTCCCCGCCATTTGCCTCGCCGGCCGCGTGGCCAAAAAAGCCGCTCCGTCCCCTCCGTTCCCACCGGGAAGGAAAGAGTTGTTTCCCCCTCCCTCTCAGCCTGCCCGCTTCGGGTTCTCCCCCTACTTGGGGGTCAGCTCGGTTCTGAGCTTCCCAGTTGCTCCCGGTTCTGTTCGTCGGTGTTAATGGAATGGGTGTTCCCGAGGGGGGGTCGTCACTCGCCCCCCACCCCCCAAATTCCCTGCCCAAATTCCYTGCGCATCACGTCACCTCGGGGATGGTGTTGGGGATGGTGGTTTGGGCAGCTGAAAGAATCGCCGGCAAAAGCGGGTTTAATATTAAAGGGAAAGTGCGACAAAATTCACTGGCAGCTTCTCTCCGTGGCTCACTCGATAGTGAAAGTAAACCTGCAGAAGAAAATGGGGCTAAAATTTCTAATCATTCAATCTAAAGCTAAAATTGGGCAAAAATGAACTAAGGGAAGGCTGGGGATGGGAAAAGAATGATAAGGATAAAATGGAATAATGGGAGATCCTCCCTCTTAAGTCACAAGGAGCAGAGTGGGCCCCCAGTCCTGTCATCAAACTGAGCCCTGGGCTTGTCCAACAGTTTAAACCTGAAGGTTTAACAGCACTTATTCAAATTAAGCTCTGGATTAAGTTTAATTTAACCCAAAATTTGTATAGAATTTACTATAGGCACTATAGTAAATTTACTATAGAATTTACTATGTAAATGAATATTAATTAATTTACAGGCCTATTTTATCTATGAATCTAAAGTGCTTAAGAATTTGAGAGCAACATTCCTAGCACATTTGCTGTAGAGTATTCACCCTTGCGCACACACATACCTGAAGAGTATATACAGGTGTAAATACTTGTGAAAAATCCACCTTGAGTTCAGTATTTATATCAGTGCCTTTGTGTTTTCTCCCCAGGCCAAGAGTTGAGCCCTGAGTTCTGGTGGATCAGCCCAAGCTCTGTTGTTCATCCTTTGAGAACCCCAAATTTGTGAGTTCACTATCCCTGAGATTGTCCTGCCTGCTGCAGTCCAGGTGAGCTCAGGGGGTCTCACTCAGGACCTGCTGGTTATAACATTAAAAGTTGTTTAGTCATCCTACCTTTCTATCCTGGCTACAATTTGGGTCAGGAATTTCCTTTGAAAGTTCAGTAACAAACACATTATCACACTTGGGGTTTTTTTCCAGGCAAGAAAAAATTAATTCCCAAGGCTGGTGCTTAAAATCCAGGAGTTAGTTTGACAACACAAGTTCCTGGGAGCCGACAGTGGCACTGATAAACTCGTCAAGACCCGGCCTGAGCTCATCGTGCAGCCTGAAGAGGGAGGGATGCACCACACAAATGAGGGTCCCAGGGGTCCCCCCCACACCCCCACCCTGCAGCACCCGCTCGAGTTTCACTCCGCGTTCAACTTCCCCTTCATTATTTATCCCTGCACAGAGCCGTGAGGCGGCAGCGAAAGGGAGAGTAAAGAGCCTCCCCCTACTCGGGGGGGCTACTAATTCTTCCCTGTGACTGGGACCAACAGGATCAACTCCTCATCTCTGCAAGAAGAGACAGAGACTTCAGAACACGCTGTGGGTGGTGTTGGGTGAGTCTTGTGTATCCCCAGACATCCAACTCAATGAAGGGAGCCCTCTAAGCCCCAGCTCTCCCACTTGTGATGGGCAGGATATCCACTCCCACCCCCAGGAAGAGGAGGCAGCAGAGATACCAAAGGCTTCTGCCAAAATGGGGGGGCTTCAGAGATYTCCAGCCCACCCAGAGGAGTGGGTCAGACACCCATTGTGCTCATTTGGGGCTCATTTGGCTCCTGGTCCTAAGAAAACCCAACCCTCCCCACTTCCCCAGCTCTTGGGGTAGGGGCACAACACCAAACCCAGCAGGATGAGGAGGGAGCATGGGTTTGGCAGGACCAGTGTGGAGCTCATCACAACCCCTGGCACATGCTCAGGGACAGGGTGGAGACCCTGGSTACAGAGAGGGACTGCAGGGCCGTGCCATGTGCTGGTGGGGACAGTGTCAARGCCAGGGAGGGACATCACCACAGGGAGTGAAGACAGCAGAGCCAAGGTAAGACAGGGAATGCTTTTTATTCAGACCCACAGGAGAGGACGGGTGGGTCCGTCACAGACTTTTCCATTGAAGCACAGACCATTAACAGGACAGACTGAGGCGYACACACTGCTACAGACCCCGCAAGGTCTTCAACTAGTTTATGTTCCCTGTTCGAGCAGCACCCTTGTGAGTTTAGTATTCCTCCCCTTCCTCCTCACCCTCACCTTCCACAGAATCAACCCCCACCTCCTCATAATCCTTCTCCAGGGCAGCCATATCCTCACGGGCCTCCGAAAACTCTCCYTCCTCCATGCCCTCCCCCACGTACCAGTGCACAAATGCCCTCTTGGCGTACATCAGGTCAAACTTGTGGTCCAGGCGGGCCCAGGCCTCGGCGATGGCCGTGGTGTTGCTCAGCATGCACACGGCGCGCTGCACCTTGGCCAGGTCGCCCCCGGGCACCACCGTGGGCGGCTGGTAGTTGATGCCCACCTTGAAACCAGTGGGGCACCAGTCCACGAACTGGATGGTGCGCTTGGTYTTGATGGTGGCGATGGCGGCGTTGACATCCTTGGGCACCACGTCCCCGCGGTACAGCAGGCAGCACGCCATGTACTTGCCGTGCCGCGGGTCACACTTGACCATCTGGTTGGCCGGCTCGAAACAGGCGTTGGTGATYTCKGCYACBGWSAGCTGCTCRTGRTAAGCCTTCTCAGCAGAGATGACGGGGGCGTAGGTGGCCAGCGGGAAGTGGATGCGGGGGTACGGCACCAGGTTGGTCTGGAATTCTGTCAGGTCGACATTCAGGGCTCCGTCAAAGCGCAGGGAGGCCGTGATGGATGACACAATCTGGCCTATCAACCTGTTGAGGTTGGTGTAGGTGGGACGCTCGATGTCCAGGTTGCGGCGGCAGATGTCGTAGATGGCCTCGTTGTCCACCATGAAGGCACAGTCGGAGTGCTCCAGGGTGGTGTGGGTGGTCAGGATGGAGTTGTAGGGCTCCACCACGGCCGTGGACACCTGCGGGGCCGGGTAGATGGAGAACTCCAGCTTGGACTTCTTGCCGTAGTCCACAGAGAGCCGCTCCATGAGCAGGGAGGTGAAGCCAGAGCCGGTGCCACCGCCGAAGCTGTGGAACACCAGGAAGCCCTGCAGCCCTGTGCACTGGTCAGCCTGCGAKGAGAGAAAARGCRAGGGGGGGACATGTTTACTCCAGGCAGCAGAAGTTACTCCTTCCTCTCCGTGGCCTCACAAGTGCTTTTGGGGGCTTTCCAGCAGCTGAGCAGGATTCAGCAGGATGGGGGACTGGCTGGCCCTGACTCCATTTGTTGCTCTCTGACTCACGGTGAATCACCCAGGGAAGCCGCTTGGCCTTTGGGGTGGGTCAATGGCCAGAGGCACCTCAGGGTGCCACAACAGCCACCGGCTCGGCAGGACAATGGGGACAAGTTTGAGCACCGGGGACTGTCACAGCCATATGACTCTGGGAGGGACCGGCTCGGGGCTGCCCGTCCCCAGCGCACGCAGCTGGACTCAGCCACGTCAGGAGCCAAGAGGAAACAAAGAGGGAATTGCCGAGCTCAGCACAGGCGGCGCCCGGGGGCTGCGGCGCTGTGGAGCGGCTCCAGCTCCAGCTGCGCCGCGTCCCGCTGCCGGCCAATGGCAGCCACTGCACAACAGGATTAACATTAATTAATAAATTAAATCTAAACCCAACCCAACGAGTCTTGGTGGGGGGAGTGAGACAGAATGGAGGCTTTGTCCTCGCTCGCCACCTGCACCCCCTGTGCCCCTACCAGCTTGCGGATGCGGTCAAGGACCAGGTCGATGATCTCCTTGCCGATGGTGTAGTGYCCRCGGGCGTAGTTGTTGGCCGCATCCTCCTTGCCYGTGATCAGCTGCTCAGGRTGGAAGAGCTGCCGGTACGTCCCCGTGCGCACCTCGTCTGCGGGGACAGCCCCGGGCCCCGTTAGCACCCAGCGCCCGCTCCCAGCGCCCGCCCCGCCCCGCCGATCGCCCGCTCCCCCCGCGCTCAGCGCTCACCGATCACCGTGGGCTCCAGGTCCACGAACACGGCCCGGGGMACGTGCTTGCCG